TGCCGCAATAGAGCACGAAGTCCGTCACCGTCGCCCAGGAAGCCCAGCGGTGACACTAACATCAGAAGGCCGCAGGAAAACTAGTTCCGGTCAATGTCCGGGGGCAATTGACCGGTCCCATGAAGACCCCCAGGATCATCAAAATTGAACACCGCTCCGGAAGACTGCACGGAAATGCCGACGCACTATCCAGAAGACCGTGCGAAGAGGACTGTAGGCATTGTCAAAGAGTAGAACAACAGGCGGGAGTCACCTCAATACGACGAACCAAAGTAGAGCTTAATGAAGGGTGGACTAGAGAGGAGCTTAAACGAGAACAAATTGAGGACCCAATAATTGGACCTATTCTCAAAGCGAAAACCGAGGACAAAAGGCCAGAGTGGAAATACATCTCTGATAAGAATCCACTCGTGAAGGCATTGTGGGCCCAGTGGGACTATTTAACACTGGAGAATGGCTTATTGAAGAGAGCCTGGGAAAGTGCCGATGGCAGGTCTGTCGTAAGCCAATTGGTTGTCCCTGAGAACAAGAGATCAGAGGTTCTTAAAAAAATTCACAATGGAAAAAGTGGAGGACATTTTGGAATCAATAAAACTCTGGCCAAAATTGAAGAGCGATTTTATTGGGTAAATTATCGCGAAGACGTAGAGACGTAGAGTAGAGTAGAGTAGAGAAGAGTGTTGTGCCACCAAAGATCCTCGCACGAGATCAAGAGGTCCAATGGTACAGTACACCGTAGGTGCTCCATTTGAGAGGATCGCGATTGATGTAGCAGGGCCGTTTCCATAGACCGAGGGCGGAAACAAATACATTTTAGTTGCCATGGACTACTTTACTAAATGGCCTGAAGCTTACGCCCTTCCCAACCAAGAGGCAACCACCGTGGCAACAGTACTTGTGAATGAGCTCTTCAGTCGTTTCGGCGCTCCTCTGGAACTTCATTCTGACCAAAGCCGAAATTTTGAGACGGCTGTGTTCCAGAAAGTCATGGAAAGGTTTGGTATTCAAAAGACTAGAACAACTCCATTATATCCACAATTCGACGGCACGGTGGAACGATTTAATCGGACTATGGAGCAGTATCTTTCCAAGATGGTGGCGGAACATCAACGTGATTGGGACGTACATTTGCTCCTTCTGCTAATGGCCTACAGAAGTTCCGTGCATGAAGCTATCGGTTGCTCCCCAGCCAAAGTGTTGTTTGGAAGAGAAATACGACTTCCAGGGGATTTGATGTTTGGAGCACCAGGAGAGGAACAACCCAACACGCAGGGCTATATAGAGGGACTCAGAAAGAGACTTAATGACGTACATGAGCAGGTCAGGAATAAATTGAGGATTTCCAGTGACCGTGCGAAAACGAGATATGACTTACTAGCCAATTCAAAAGGCTTCCAGGAAGGTGACCTTGTTTGGTTATACAACCCAAGAAGGAAGGTTAGGAAGTCGCCCAAATTCAGGCCGAATTGGGAAGGAGCTTACACCGTAATTAAGAAGATTAACGACGTAGTCTACAGGATTCAGCGAACCCCCTGAGCTAAGATGAAAGTTGTTCATCTGAACAGATTGGCGAAGTACCACGGGGCACCATCTGTTCGGGACGAACAGTTTTAAGAGGAGGGCAGTGTTGCGGCTTGATTTTCAGCGCACAGCGGCAACGCAGCTTACAGCGTTTTCGGGACGCCTAGCTCGATACTTCGAGAACGAACGGCAATAGTCGATTGGGCCATGGAAATCCGGAAAAATGGAGAATCTTCGTAGGTCGTCGAGAGCCCTTGCGCGCTAATATAAATACGGCAAGGCGACCGAAGTTAGTTAGTTAATCAGACAGCTATACAGTGGAATATTTAAAGCCATATACAGAGTGTGTTCGATTCGCGAGCTATGGTTTTGAGTTAGTGATTGTTATAGTTAGTATTTGGGAGTTCAATAAATTGTTGGGTTTTTTTATTGGTTTACTGGAATCATTCGAACCCCGGGAAACGTAGCAATATTAATTTGTTGTAGTTTTATTTCAATATTAAGCTGAGATAAACCTTGAGATAAATTAGGCGTATTACTTAATGTACTACTAGCAGGCGTTTGCAAAGACTCAGAAGAGCGGGACAATTTTGATATTTGGTCTTTCATTATAACCACAGTATTGTAATACTTGTTTTCTAACATATCCCGGTCTTCCTTGTCCTGGTCGCCCATCCTTCTCCACTTCCATAGTGAATTGAATTTTAGGGTTTATTGAGTTGAGGTGCCTCAGGAAGTCTTCAAGTCTATGGCCCCAAACAACAAAAGTGTCATCAACATAGCGAAACCAACACTTAGGTTTCCTCACGGCTGTGTCCAGAGCGTTCTTCTCAAATTTTTCCAT